AACATGCTTTTTACAATGAGGGCTCGTCTACAGCCGGAAGTGACCTCTGACAAGCAGAGCACACGCCTCCTGCCCCGCTCGCCCGCTTTCCCGGTGGACGCCCATTTCAACCTTCATTTAATGGCCAGCGACTTCCTTGCCATACTTGCGCTGAAGCCTGGAATGGATCTGACCGGGACTGACATACCAACTCCAGGAGTTAGCACGCCGGCTCCGGCTAGGGACGAGAGCCAGGAAACTCTCATCATTCCGACGGGACGGGGCGAGGCGTGTGACAGGCCGCCTGTTGCCACCTAACCCGCGATCTGACCGGTCTGTGACCGGTCACACACCGCGACCGGTCACGGACCGGATAAGCGTGCGCTGCGCCACCCACGACGAGGCCGCGGGCGCGCCGCTCGGGCCCGACCCCTCGGGCGACGCTTGGGACGAGCCAGCTTCGGGGGACGCCCCCGAGTCCGGCACGTCGATCGGCGGGCCGAGCCGCGTGGCACCCACACCGAGGCGGCTCTCCCCTCGGCCTTCCGCTGCCCCACTGAGCGCGGAGCCCCTCCTGCAGGCCTTGGCCGCCGCGAATAGCACGGTGCTGGACGGGTTAAGTGCCCAGATGGAGGCCCTGCAGGCGGAGCGAGCGGAGCTCAAAGCGGCGTGGGCGCGCGTCGAGGAGGGGCGGCGCTCGGTGGAGGCCATGGTGGAGGCGGGCCGCAAGGCACACCGCCGGCACGCCTCACAGCTCGAGGCCCGTCGTAGGGACCTGGCGGAGATCGCCAGGGAGGTGGAGGAGGAGCGGGAGACTGCCCTCATCGCCACCGCCGTGCTCGACGGGGCGCGGGACGACCTCCGCCTCCAATACGGGAGCCGGGCGGCGGAGCTAGAGGAGAAGCTCGACGCCGCCCAGGGAGTCCTTGACGCCGCCGCTGCCCGGGAACGGCGGGCGGCGGAGAACGAGGCGGCGTCCCGGCAGCGCGAAGAGGCCCTTGAGGCTCGCGCCACGGCGCTGGAGGAGCGCGCCCGCGCCCTGGACGCGAAGGAGAGAGACCTGGCGGACCGCGAGGCCGCCGTCGCCACCCGGGAGGCAACACTGGCGGCGCACGAGGCCGCCGGCGCCGAAGAGGAGTCCGCACTCCGCCTCCGCGAGGACGCGCTCACCGAGCGGGGGCGAGCTCTCGAGGAGGCCGAGGCCGCGGCGCAGCGGCTGACGGACAGCCTGTTCCTCCGCGAGGCAGCGCGGGAGGAGCAGGCGCGCCGCAATCTGGAAGGCGCCCGCGCCGAGAGGGCCGCACTGGATCAGCGGGCCGCTGAGCTCGAGGCACGGGCGAAGGAGCTGGACACGAGAGCGCACAGCGGCGGGGCGGCCGCGGGCCACGGCAACCTAGCCGCCCGCCTCGCAGCCGCCGAACACACCATCGCCGAGCTGCAGGGCGCGCTGGACTCGTCCGCCGGGGAGGTCGAGGCCCTCCGCTTGGCGAGCGAGGTAGGGCCCGGCATGCTTCGGGACGCCGTCTCCCGTCTAGACCGCGCCGGGCAGCAGGCGGGCCTCTGGGGCGGGCGGTACGCGAAGTACGCCGCCAACCAGGGGGGCCTCGCCCAGCGCCTCTCAGAGATGGCCGGGGCCCTCGAGCGGCTCCCCGAGGAGCTCGAGGAGACGATCAAGTCATCCTCGAGGGACCTCGCACGGGGGGCGGTGGAGCTCGTACTGGCAAGCTACCAGGCCAGGGACCCTGACTTCTCCCCGTGGGCAGCGCTGGAAGAGTTCCCTCCCGGAACCGAGGACGGCGCGAGCGCGCAGGTCCGAGACGCCGCCGACCACATCGTCCACAGCTTCGAGGGTACAGCCCCTCGGCTCGCGTTCGCGCTCGACTCCGACGAGGAGGGCGGTGACGACGGTGCGGACGACAGCGACGACGAGGCCGGCAACCCGGGCGCGTCGGAGTGAGCCCCCAGGCCCCCGCCAATCTTAATAACTTTTCCTTCTTCTTCCGAGGCCTTCGGGCCCCCTTCTTGTATAGACTGATTTAATCTGTAATCAAGTAAAGAGGAAATTTCTGCGTCAGTTCTGTTTGTTGTGTGTATGAGACGAGGATGGTCTGTGCCGCGGTCCTTCTGTGTCTTGGCTTGAACAAGGGCTCGTGCCCAGGTCCCAGCCTCAAACGGCGCGGGTCGGGGCTAGTGCCTGGGGAGATCCTCGTGTCGAGACTGGCCAGGCCGGGAGCGCGGTGACCGAGGGTTATGGATGACCCGATTGTGGGCCTTTGCCAATTCCCCCCCGGAGTTCACCACGCCCCGGGGCACGGCTCGGTTCTGGGCCCCGTTTGGCGATTTTAGCCGGCCCGGGCCACTGAGGGCAGGGTCGAGCACGAGCGTGCTAATTCGAGCCAAGATTCTTCAAAAGGAAACGATGGCACAGACACAGTCCTCAGGAAATCGAAAATGCTTTTATTGAAATACGGAAGAGAAAAAAGGTAAGTATATGCATGTGGTAGCCCCCGGCCAACGCTGCACGCCCGGGGGGGTGCGGGGTTGGCCCGAGCCCGAGACATGACACCTGACCCCCACTAGGGGTAGAAGCGACGAAGGTGTTCGATGTTCCACGGGTTAGGCAGCTCTATGCCGTCGCCCGTGCCCAGCCGAACGGAGCCCGACCGGGGGACGCCGATCACTCGATACGGACCCTCCCACATTGGTGAGAGCTTGCTCAGTCCAGCACGCGTTTGGACGCGGCGTAGGATGAGGTCGTCGACGCAGAGTGATCGGGCCCGGACGTGGCGCTGATGGTAGCGCCGCAGGCTCTGCTGGTAGCGCGCGGCTCGGAGGGCCGCGCGCCGCCTTCGCTCTTCCAAATAGTCGAGGTCGTCTCGGCGAAGCTGATCTTGATCAGCCTCGCAATACATGGTGACCCGAGGGGACCTCAGGGTGAGCTCAGATGGGAGGACCGCCTCCGCGCCGTAGACGAGGAAGAAAGGCGTTTCCCCGGTTGCTCGGCTTGGCGTGGTTCGGTTCGCCCAGAGCACCGCTGACAGCTCCTCGATCCACGATTCGCCGTGCTTCTTGAGGATGTTGAAGGTCTTGGTTTTGAGGCCCTTCAGGATTTCCGCGTTGGCGCGCTCCACTTGGCCATTGCTTCTGGGGTGGGCGGGGGAGGCGAAGCAGAGCTTGATGCCCATGTCTTCGCGATCTAACCCGCGATCTGACCGGTCTGTGACCGGTCACACACCGCGACCGGTCACGGACCGGATAAGCGTGCGCTGCGCCGCATTAAATGCGGCGTGGCGCGCTCGTCCAACCTGCTATAAATGCGGTTAGGTGAGCCCCGCTGTGCTCACCTAACCCACACACGTGGCGCCAAAACCACAGGGGGTCGGGGCGCCCCAGCCCTCGGGGTAGAAACGGGAGCGGCCCGACCCCTCGGGGAGACAGAGGGAGGGGTGGCCACGTCACCCTCGGGCCCGACCCCCCTCCCAAGGGGGTCAGGCCACGTGGGTGACCGCGGCTACCCAAGCCTCTAGTCACGATACCCCCGGCCCCATGTCACCGACAATTTGGCTCCGTGTTCTTCATGGAGCACCGAAATACTCCGACGTGGAGGAGAATCTCCGACCTGGCCTCCCCAAGCTGAATGCCACATCACTGCACTGTGAAAGCCCTTAGAACAGGTATAATAATAGGCGGTAGTAGTTCCACATAGGATTTTGTGATGATCTGGCCAGGGGAAGAGAGAGAGTGAGCCGGCGACTAATTTGTCGCTAGGCTGCACGCACCGCTCAAGGTGATTGTGGGGCCCGCCTTACGCTGCCTCTTCTCGCCACAAGGAATAGAGAAGCATCGGCCATGCCTTGTGCTGCATGCCTCTGTCGCCAACTCCCGCGGCCACCGGACCACCGCCCTCAGCCTCGTCGGCGCCAACGCACGGCCACCGCTGTCTCCCACATCCACCGCACGGCCCCCGTCGCCCCCACCTGCACGGTCGCCGCCGTCTTTCGCCTCCGCCGCACGGCCCGACCACCGCTGTCTCTGACGTCCGCCGCATGGCCGCCGCCGTCTTCCGCCTCCACCATCTCCTGCGTCCGCCGCCGCCGTCTTTCGTCGTCGGTGACAGGGAATCGAAGCTAGCTAAGAAAGAAAAAGGAGAAGAAGACAGGAACCGAGGGGATAGGAGGAAGAAAGAATGAAAAAGGAGAAGAAGACAGGAACTGAGGGGATAGGAGGAAGAAAGAATGTAAGGTAGGAGAAGATGGTGGGTTCCACGAATCAATAAAATATTCGTGTTATAGTATTTCTATTAGATCAGGTACAATAGCAGACTATAAGCTAGCTATAAACACGTATCGAGGAGATTAAATAAGAGAGATGAGCAGTGGACTACAAATTTGTAGCAAGATGCAACACGAACTGCAAGACGTAATGTGTGTATGATAGGAGGGATCAGATATTAGTAGTGTAGTATATATATTTATATGTAACTGCTGTATCAATTGGCTATTAAATCGACTATAGATGACCTTACTCTTAGGGCTGGTTTAGTTGGGGAAAAAAATTAGATTTTATTGTCACATCAGATATATAGACACACATTTAAAGTATTAAATGTAGTGTAATAATAAAATAAATTACAGATTCTGCCATAAAACTGCGAGACGAATTTATTAAACCTAATTAATCCGTCATTAACAAATGTTTACTTAGCACCACATTGTCAAACCATGACGGAATCGGGTTTAAAAGATTGGTCTCGCAATTTACACGTAATCTATATAATTGATTTTTTCCCTACATTTAATACTTGATGTATATCTCCAAACATTCAATAATTTTTTTTGTTCTGTAACCAAACAGGGCCTTATTGTTACGGGGAGAGACGCTGGACACCTGGACGTCAGCACCACCACTGTTCATGCCTGGACGTCAGCACTAGTACACTTGTTGAACTCATTTTTATATCATCTGCAAAATCTATAGTCCAACGGATGAGGCCAGTACTAACAATCTCGCACACCATAACAGATAGACATAAGAACACTTGTTGATTTCGCAATCAGTTGCGAGTTGCAACTGGGTACATTTTCCGGACGAACATCCGTCGACCGCTTTACGAACACAGGGTTTAACACCAGCGAGCACGTTAATTACGTACCCTAATGAATACTTAGACCCACTAGTGCTCTTGTTTTGCTTGCACTGGGGTCCCCAAATCACAATTACTACCCACTAAATTTAACCTGCCCCCAAATCCACCGACTAATTAGATTAAGACGACGTCGAAATAGTGATGCTATTATCTGGGACGATTTGTTTGATCAAATCTCCCAAAGAAGGTAGTAGAGCCTAGAGCTGGCCGTAGGAGTGGGCGAGGTAGGCGAGCGCTCCGACGAGCGGCGCGTTGATGTAGGTGGCCGGCTCGGAGTGCTCGTGGTCGCTGCGCTGGTCGGGGAACTGGTCCTGCAGGTTGGGCCCTCCGACGACGGCGCCGACGAGGACGTTGGGGTTGGCGACGCCGGAGTAGAGCGCGGTGAACCCCTGCGAGCAGCCGATCCTGGCGGGGTGCGCCGCCACCGACGGCAGCGACGACGCGCGGTGGTGGATCCTCCGCGGGTACTTGGCGCCGTACCCGACCATGTACGACATCCCCATCGGGTTGCTCCCCAGCAGGTAGTCCACCTGCTGGCGCGCGATGGCGCGGAGGCGGGCCGGCGTGACGGCGGCGCCGCCGCAGGAGACGGTGGTCTTGGAGAAGGCGAGGTACTTGGCGTAGGTGAGCAGCAGGAAGGAGCTGGAGGTGACGTACTGCATGTTGCTGTCGCTGAGCTTGAAGAGGAGGCCGCCGCGGGTGTACTGCGTCTGGTCCGTGGGGGTGCCGGGCACCATGGAGCAGATGAAGCTGTCGGCGTGGCCCTTGTACTCGTGCAGCGCCGCCACCTTCTGCACCAGGAACGCCTTGGCGATCAGGATCCTCGCCCCGGCGTGCTTGTTGTCCCACCCGAACGTGTTGTCCTGCTCGTCCGCGCCCAGCACCTGCCCGTTCATCTGGATGTAGCTCAGGTACGTCGGGTTCTTGGTCGCCCTGTGTAGCCATGCCGCCCCCCACAGCAGCTCATCCTTTTTCACACGCACACAAACCAAAGATCAACATTGAACAGAGCTACTATATACTAGGATTGCCCTGCAGCCAATGGGAGCAAGGAGTATAACGTTTTTTGCTAGGCGTACGCACACACCTGGTACCCGGAGTAGGAGCAGTAGTATGGGCAGACGTATGGCGAGAGACGGGTGCTGTACGTGCCCCTGTGCTTGTCCGCGAACTCAAACACCTACACAATCCCGAAACAGAGGATGTCAAAAACAGAGCAACCAAAGAAGCAGGGGAGAAGGAGAACAGAGTATTGGTGACACAGCAAGAGAGCAGCATTGAGTGGTCGAGAAGAGCACGGACCCTCTTGGCCCTGGCGACGAGGCGGCTGGCGTAGGCCGGGTCGGACTTGCGGAAGACGAGCGAGGCGGCGGCGAGCGCCGCGGCGGTCTCGGCCGCGACGTCGGTGCCCGGGGTGCTCGGGTCGACCTTGTACACGGTCCTCGGTGTGTCCATGTCCTCCGGCCGCTCCCAGCACGCGTGGTCCCTGTTGGCATCACCGACCTGGAAAGGGAAGAGGAAGAGTGAGCTAAGCTGAGCTAGTCAAGGAGACATTGTTGTCAACATTGGTCCACACCATGATATGAGCGTCCTGTACATACTACAGTATATAGGGCTATTGCGTACTAAGAAAAAACAGAGCAACTTTTTTTTTTTGCAATGCTTGTACTTTATGGTGAGAAGGAAAGCTACTATTTGTTTGACCAGGAAGAACAACCGGTGACGACATTAACAAAGCGATGAACCGCGCACGGAACCCGGTAGGAATGTCGACGGCGAGCAAATGGACGAGACAAGTGAATGTGTGAGGATGGTGTTGAGGGGTGTACCTGGACGTAGACGGTGTCCGGGTGGGCGGTGGCCTTGAGGAGGTAGTCGGAGCCCCAGCGGACGGCGTCCCTGGCGTGCTGGAGCTCACCCTTCATGAGTCCACCGAACTCCACCACGCTCCACGCCAGCATCGTCATGCTGAACGCCAGCGGGAACCCGAACTTCATGTTGTCGCCGGCGTCGTAGTACCCTCCCACCAAGTCCACCTGAGAGACAAACGCATCAAGCCATGAGACCATGGCGAGAGAGAGAGAGAGAGAGAGAGAGAGAGAGAGAGAGAGACGGCGCCAATGCCGACGAAATGGTGAAACGCGGAGGAGCGGAGAGTTTCTTGCCTTGATGGAGGAGCCGTCGGAGAGGCCGGAGTCACCCCGCCAGGAGACGCGCTGCGACGGCGGCAGCTTCCCGGAGCGCTGGCCCTCGAAGAAGAGGATGGACTTGGTGAGCGCGTCCCTGTAGTCGTGCGGCGCGGGGCCGTGGTGCGGCGACGCGGCGGCGACGACGGCGGCATTGCGGTGGGGAAGAAGGACGGCGAGGAGGAAGAGGCAGCGGAGGAGAGCCATGGCTACGAGAGAGGAAATGGTGAGCAGAGCGGCGGAGAAGGGACCCCTACTCTGCACTTGGAGGAGCTCTCCGCTGGCTAGCTCGCTGCCGCCTCTGCCATTATAGTTGCCACTAGAGCGCTGCTTTTAAAGACACGAACAGTTTTTTCTTCTGCCGTTTTTTTTTTCCTCTCCCCATTCGTTCGCGCCATTTTTTCTTTCTTCTGGGTGAATGGGATGGAACAGTTTATTACTGGTATTCCTGCCATAGCCTTGCGTGTTCCAAGGGGTTGAGCTGATGAGCTCGTTCACGTGCCCATGGTGGTGAGACGACCCGTCTGAGCAATCTGTACTACTCGTATTGAAAGTTTTTCACAACATTTTCGAGCATCAAAACATGTAGGATGTGTTCAGTTCCACGCCAAAATTGAAAGTTTGACTAAAATTAAAAGTTTGAAGAAAAAAGTTGAAGTTTACGTGTGTATGAAAGTTTTGATGTGATAGAAAAGTTGAAAGTTTGAAAAAAAAAGTTGGGACTAAACCAGGTCGTAGTTCACCAAGTCCATCCTCTTTTTAGTGGTATAAAGTTTGGCGTGTTACATCGGGTATTATATAGTATGTCGTATGAGGTGTTCAGATACTAATAAAAAAACTAATTACAGAATTCTTTAAGTCTAATTAAGTCTAATTAATCCGTCATTAGCAAATGTTTATTGTAGCACCACATTGTCAAATCAAGGAGCAATTAGGCTTAAAAGATTCATCTCGCAAATTAGTCGCAATCTGCGTAATTAGTTATTTTTTTAGCATGTATTTAATATTTTATGAAGGTGTTCAAACGTTCGATATGACAGGGTGAAAAATTTTGAGGTGGGATCTAAACATGGCCTTAGTTTGCGATACGAAAAGTGTTGGCGTGTCACATCGGATATATGGACACACATTTGAAGTATTAAACATAGTCTAATAACAAAACAAATTACATATTCCGCATGTAAACTGCGAGACAAATTTATTAAGCCTAATTAATTCGTCAGTAGCAAATGTTTACTGTAGCACAACATTATCAAATCATGGAGCAATTAGGTTTAAAAGATTCGTCTCGCAATTTACACATAATTTGTGTAATTAGTTTTTTAATATTTAATATGCGTATATCTAAACATTTAATGTGATAAGGTGAAAAGTTTTGTTTGGAAACTAAATAGGGTCTAAGGATAAGAGGATGCAAAGCCAAATCTCATTTGAAGCTTTGATCCAAAAATGCAGTCCATTTCGCATAGGGAAAATTGGAACCATACCATTATAATTTGTAAAAATTGAGATATGCCATCATGACCCACATGTTATTAATTCATGTGGGTTCTACATGTCATTGAGATACTGATGGTATATGTCAAACTTTACAAAATTATAATAGCATGGTTTCAATTTACCATTTCGCATAGTGGTAGCCGAGGATACGTTTGCCGTGTATGGTTGGGCCGGTTTTGGTTTATCAAGGGAACAAATATACAAAGATCAGAGAAAAAAAAGGAGGTAAAAATACTCCATGGGAAAAAACCAATTAAGCATGTACTACTACTATTATCTAAGGGAAAAAATATACTCCATGAGTATCGCTGTGTTGGGAGCTCGGAAACGGCAAGCGGGCAACCCGCCGCGGCTGGCAGTCCACAGTCCACACTCCACACTCCACAGGGAGGGTTGCTGTGCTGTGGCCTGCATCACCGCCGGCTATTATGCCACTAAAAACTGAATCACCGCCGATATTAAGCCACTAAACTACTGTATATTCCGGTTAACATAAGTACTAGAGTATACTGAGTAACAATGCACGAACTGTCTTTGAATTGGGCCTGTTTTGTGTGGAGTGTTGGTTCAGACAACCAAGCCCAGTTAGCACTGAAGTTGTACAGCAAAAATTGGTACTTCAATGTAGCGAGAGCCTGAGAGCCCGTGTGGGTATTTCTTAGTATTAGTACTTCTTTGAGCTGAAAATAAGGCGAAATTTACAATGGAACAGGAGAAACTTGGGACCGGTAATCTCATAGTTTGGGCCCTTAACCTCAGGGGCCATACTGCTACCGATCGACGGTCCTCTCTGAATCCTGAAGGGAAATAGAGGGAATAAGGAATAGCACAGTGCACAGACGATCAGACGAGACGAGACGTGGGAAACGTACCGTAAGTACGCCGGAGCAACGGAACAAAGTAGGCGAAGAGCCACCGTGATCTCGTCAAAGAAGACGGCGCGGGCGCGGCATGTCCGCCCGTGCCGTCCGCCGTGGGCGCAGCTGCTTTTCCACGTCTCGGGTTCAGATCGACCGCACCGGATCAGCCTTGCGTGCGACGCGGAAGGTTTCACCGCCGATCTCGGCAACTTTTTCACGGCTTTGATGGTCGATGGATCATGATCGTTCCGTGACGCCGGATCAACCGACGCGCGCGCGACAGGTGATTCCACGGCCACGCGCGTGCGTGGGCCGTCGATCACGCGGGTCTCATCTGGGGGCAGATTCGCCGATCGAGCCGATCGCGCGCGGGGTGGTGGGGCACACGGCGACCACACATGCGGCATGTTGGCGCGCCGCGCGCCGTGCCGGTTGTGGCCTTTTTGTGCGGGATGCGTTCTCTCCTGTTCGGCGCGCGCGGCGTCCATGAGCCCATGCATGCATCACGCACATTGCTAATATGGACATCACATCTCGTACACATTTCTCTGCACAGCGCGACGATGTGTAAGCCATGGGAGCAACCGAAGAAGGGGACGAAGCGGTGTGCCAAAGCCGACGTGCGTTGAGCAAAGCCCGTGCTTCGTTGCAGGCTTGCAGCTACTACGGAAGAACTCGACGTACGGCGGCGTAATCGTCGGCAAATTTTTAGCTGCAGTTTCATCTTACTTTATGCGATTTGGCCCTCCCCTGGATCACATACATCCCCTGCCTTGTCCACCAGGTGATGCACGCTGCACGCATGCTCCCGTAACTTTTGCTATTGCTGCTGATCATGGAAAGTACGTGCTGCTCATTCCATGAAGGTGCTGCACGTAGATTAAAGTGAACAACGCAGTAAATGATCCACCGACCGTACGTGATCCGCAGTAGTAGCTAGCTTACCAGTTCATGAGTTGGTTCGATTCAGGACCAGGCCATTCATGAGTGACATTGCATCCGCGCAGAAGCTGCAAAGTTAAGATTAGATGCTGGCTTGCATTGATTATTTCATCACCGCCCTGTACTTGCTTTTCTATGTAGTAAAACGCAGCGCCAACATTAACTGGTTTCCCCATCGCCGAGGGAAATTCCAGCACCAAAAGAAAAATGAGGACGGCTATCAAGCCGAAAAACCTTCGGCTATCTAAATTGGGCCTCCAAACAAGTACTTATCCACGAAAAGGAATAAGTTCGTTTTGACCCCCTTAATAGTGACCCGAATCTAATCCATGACCATAAACCGTAAAACCGGATATCTCGCCCCCCCCCTCCCCCGAACTATTGAAACCAGTGCAATTTGACTCTCTTCACAGTTTTGGAGGGTGATTTTGCTGACGTGGCGGTATTGACTAGGTCTTTTTTACACGTGGCACTTAGGTGGCATTAGACTTAAAAAATATGCGTGAGATCCATTAGTCATTCACACAAAAATGAAATGTTGGTCCACTGACATGTGGGTCCTCCTTCTTCTTCCTTCTTCCTCCCTCTCTCCCTTCTCTCTCTTTTTCTCCCCTTCTTCTTCCCCTTCGGTCGGTGGCGCGTGGCGGCAGGCAAGCCCGCAGCGGCGAAGGACGGCGGCCCCGGCTGTCCTCTCGCCGTCACTCGTCTACCCGGTCATCGTCGCCTTCTCTTCCTCCCCGGCCCCGTTGTCCGCGTTCCTCCTCTTCAACCATGCCTCCTCGTGCTCCCTCTCCACCTCGCTTCCCACCTTCCCTGCGCTACTCAAATCTTGCGCCCGCGCATTCAACCAGAGCTCTCGCGCCAGCGCCGCGTTGGTCTTCATCTCCAATGGGATGGAGCTGCATTGCCTTGTCTTGATGATTGGCTGCGGGAAGGATCGCTATGTGCGGAATGCGCTTGTTTCCATGTATGGCAAGTTCGGTCGCCTCGGGGATGCACGGAAGGCGTTCGATGAAATGCCTGCCAAGAATGCCGTCTCGTGGAACGCATTGGTCGGGGCTCATCGTGCCGCTGCGGCGCTGCAGACTGGACGGGTGCATCTGGAAGCTTATTTGATGATTAAAGAAAACCCTTCAACAGCAAACTCTCTCTGGAAGATGTTGGCAGCTTGCCGATCGAGTGCATGGGCACATCAATCTTGCTTACAAGTTTTTTCATGAACTACGTGAGCGGATTCTAACTGATAATCTACGCTCCTCAACCCGAGCGGCTCCGGCATATGCTCTGCGGCTCCGCCTGCGAGACGGCGCGCCCCGTGGAGGTCGACGATGACAACGACGGCAACGACGACAAAGACGATCCCGCTGGGTGCCTGCCGGTGGCAATCTCCCTTCCCTCTCCGGCGCCCACCACTGACTACCGCCGCCACCTGCCACTGCTCCCTTGTTCGCCAGCTGCCATTACCGACGGCCGACAGGAGAGAGCCGGAGAGGGAAGGGAGATAGAGAAACAGGGAGAGAAAGAGAGAGAGAGATAAGGGAGAGATTGAGAGGGAGGAGGAAGAAGGGGCGGAGAGAGGATGACATGTGGGCCCCACATATAAGTGGGTCTCACATTTATCCTTTGTGTGAATGATAAATGAATTATTATTTTTTAATTCTAATGTCACTTAAACGCTGCGTGTAAAGAAGACCCGGTCAATACTGCCACGTAGGCGCTACGTCATTAAAACCGCCCTCCAAAACCGTCAAGGGAGTCAAATTACACCGGTTTTAATAATTCGGGGGGTCGAGATATCCAGTTTTGTGGTTTAGGGTCATGGATTAGATTCGGGTCACTTTTAGGGGAGTCAAAGTGAACTTATTTCCCATGAAAACTTCGCTAGGTTATGGGCCAAATTGGGCCTTAACTGAATCTGCCATTTGATCAAGTTTGCACTCTTGTGGTTTTGCTTACCAAGGAAGTTCAGCTTAGCCAAATTAGCAGTTTTTTCATACAGTTTTGCGCGATTTTAAAAGTAGACTTGGAATTATATATAGAGCTCTTTGTTTTGCTTACGTATAACTGTGTTTTGTATACAATACATTTTAAAGACTGTGATATGCTATGGACCACATTTTATTATTTAAGTTTTACTTTAAATCATCTTTACCTTATCTTTCTACTTTTGATTAGGTATTTTAATTTTTTTTATTATACTTTGGACGACCCTATATGGTTTCGTCTAACCACATCAAACCTCTTCTCCAGCAGATGTGAGTTGCACGTAAATAAGGGAGATGATTGGCTTGAGGGTGCCGATGTGCTCGTGAATAGAGCGTGGATTGTCCTAAATGCAAAAAATAGTAAGTTAAAAATGAAAGATGAGGTGAAGAGTGATCCAAAGTAAAACTTAGGTAATAACAAATGGGTCAAAGTGTATTTCACTCTATTTTAAATAGATTTGAGTTGATACACTACAGATAGTTTCTATGTTTAGAAACACTGTACAAATGTTGGCACTCACAACGTACGCACACTCATCCAAATGACATAAGTTAAGATTCATGAAGCTAGTTACTATTAACGTCTTGATGTTGATCGTTATGTCGTCTATCATTGAAAGAATATATCCGTATCAAGTCTAAGGCTTGAATTTGGGTCGATAGTTCAACAACAATAAACCTAACTAGTTAAGCACACTTTGCACCATGGTTAGTTTCAGTTTCCATGCATGAAAACAATTGTATTTAGCATACAATGTATATATCGATAAATCTAGTGGTGTAAATCTTTATATTTTCATCCGATTTTACATGGTAATTTTTTAGCCATCCGAAGTGAAATTAATTTCAACTTGACTCAAGCACTTTGTCAGAGAACATCGACCTCCTACTATGGTTAATATACCGTTATACCGGTACCATTGCCCATTGGCCCTTTTCCACCTAAATATCAGCAATACAGGTAAAATATGCTTATAGTTTCTAACCACGCATCTGAAAATATATTAGTCCCGTCATAAATATATGACTTTAGGGCAAGAATCGGCCAAACTTTCAAAACTTTAGGAAAAGATCACGCCCCTTGTGATCACCAGGGAGAGTATTTACGTAGGACGATGTATTCTCAAGGAGACCTCCGAACAAAAGATGTCCCCAAACAAAAATTAGTTTCCTAATTTATTTGCTCTATAGCGCTTATCAAGATTGGACACCATTATCACGAAACCCCATTGCCAGAAACAGAGAGAGAAAAATACACCTGATTTTAACACTCCACTTCATATGTATGGAGAACGTAAATACGGACCCGTATCGAATGGTAATTTCTGAATCACGTATAGGTACATGTTACACATTTCGGCCCAAAAACAAAAGAATCAACAGCAACATGGTATTCGATTCGAACTGGTGCCCCCTCTTTCTTCACTTGTCAGCACAGCACGCTTATTGCCGTGACGCCCTGAACCCAGCGCGCTCTATCACAGTGTCACAGCCCGACGGTGAAGGGGACGGACGTGCCGGCGAGCCATACGTCGCCGTCGATGAAGTTGCCGACGGTGAAGGTGCTCGCCTCCGACGCGCTGGTGATGACGCGGTAGCCCTTCCACTTGACCCGGTTGGACGTGGAGGCCCCGGGGCCGGTGTTCTGGTACTCGCCGTAGTAGAGCGTGTCGAGCGCGAAGTTGCCGCTCCACTCGAGCCACCCGGCGGGGTTGACGACGCTGTCGAGCTCCGACTGCATGAACACCGTGCGGGAGTACTGCTTCCAGGGGCGGCCGAGGTAGGTCTTGAAGCTGGACTGGACGGCGAGGAGGTCGGAGGCGGCGGCCACCTTGCACTTCTGGATGGAGATGCCGGTGTTCTGGTTGGGGTCCTCCCGCCCCTGCGCGGTGTAGACGTTGCTCTGGTTGGGGAGCGGGCGGCGCGCGTAGAGGTTGCAGCTCTGGAAGACGACGGCGGAGTTGCCGAAGATGAAGTCGATGGTGCCGTAGATGTCGCACTCGCGGAAGAACTGGCGGAGGGAGTGGACGTAGAGGGTGTCCTGGTAGCCGACGAAGCTGCACCGGTAGAACGCCGACAGGTCGGCGCCCACGCGCAGCGCCACCGCCTGGTGCTTCGACGGGCCGGCCGAGTTCTCGATCGTCAGGTCGCGGGCCAGGAAGTTGTTGCCCACCACAGCTGCACCACAATCACGCCAAATAATTAGTGAAAAGGCTTTCTTCTATATGGTTAAAGTTTTTATGGGCCTAATTCATAGATCATAGGAGTAAGTCCACTTTAACTCTCTCAAATATAGAACACACCGAGAGTTCGTGATGTAGGCCTGGTTAGACTAAGTCAATGAGTCACATCAGCGTAAACTGCCAACAAAAACCATTGAGAGAGTTATTTTTGCACCTATTTCGATAGTTGGAGGGTGAAAATATCTAATACTGCGGTTGATGGATACAAATAAGATTAATTGAGGTAATTAAAGTGGACTTATTCCTACACCTTAGGATGCATGTTTTCCACTAGAGGCCCAACTGTTCCCATTTGCACATGGTGCTAAATTGTCATGGCCCGGTTAGCAAATTCGCGCCCATGCTTGTTTGCTCACTGACTATAGATGGGCCGTCAGCGCAGTGAGAAGGTAGAAGTACGAGTAAGAGGAGAAATTCCTACCGTAAATTCTACTTACCCAACCCAACGAGGCAACGACGAGTAATCGAAAACAAAAGCTGTTGAACGGCGCTGGCCGGATCTCCCGGACGGTCCCGGCGGTGGAGGATGGCCAGCCAGACACAGGAAAGGCATGATAACTGAGAAAAGGATTATGGATACGGACAGGCGCTGCGATGAAATCAAGCCGCGCGCACATGGCATGCGGGAGGAGGACGCGGAATTGCGGATTCGCACACAGCGACAACCAGTAAATGCCCGGCCGCCCCTCGCGCGTCCTAGTAGGATACACACGATCCTAGCAGACTCCGTTCGACGACATGAGGAGCACCGACTTCCATACGCCCATACGACAAGAGGAGTACCATTGATTTATTACTGGTGACCTGCCAAGTACGTGAATTTAGTATTTAATTACCATTCATATATTACTGTTGATCTGCCATGCCTAGGTTGCTGTTTGCAAGGAATGGCAAATGATCACGGGTGTGCCTTCCAACTTTGGCTACTAGTACTAGTAACTAACAAGCAGCAAATGGAGTAGTAGTGGACACTCGACCAAAACTGCGAAACATGCATGTCCCTAGTCCGTGGTTGAAGATTTAACCGTACGTTCTCCTTTTATATTTTCATACCCTGACACATAGTAACTCAATCAACCGTAGGCCACCTCGACCCCGTAGGTTGCAACTGGGGTGGTCCAGATCAGCATAGGTATTTTCAGGCCTTCCAATTATTATCTACTACTCTTCTCATGTATCTGGCCTACTCCATTCAATATAAGAATATAGAACTGGACGAAACATTTTATGATACAACGTATCTAAACACCCTCATGTCCAAACTCACTGTACTATGAAATGTCTTATCCGATTCCAGGTTATACTATATTGTGGACGGAGGGACTAAGTTTCTAACCATCCCAAATTATATCTGGCGTCTAACAAGTATATTTCGCTATTAATTTCCCTTTAATAAAGTTATAAGGTAGAGGAAATGTCTCTGCCGTACAATTATAGATAGGCAGGAGTATTGTGCATGCATTCGCACTTATCCACTATATTTCAGTGCGTGCAATCTGCAGGAAGCAGCAGTAGCCCACCTGCAATATTATTTAGGCCTGGTTTAGTTCCCAACTTTTTCTTCAAACTTTAAACTTTTCCATCACATTAAAACTTTCCTACACACACGAACTTCCAACTTTTCCGTCACATCGTTACAATTTCAACCAAACTTCTAATTTTGACGTGAACTAAACACACCCTTAGAGGCATCAAGTGATACACTAGATACGTAGTAGGAGCCAATGATCTTATCTTATGATCCATTATTGGCCATTGCAAGGACTAGCGCGGTGGGGCGCTACCCTACAGCGGTAGCAAGATGAGAGAATAATTGGACAGCTATATATTACTTGTCCTGCAGCGGGAGAAAAAAGTGTGCATGAGATGGGATCGATCAATCAATCGATCGATTCATGGATGGCTCCACCTTAATTTGCTTCTATCTCCAACCTATATGTGTGATGCAACACGACTTACCATAGTTCCATGGCCACCCTTCCATTATATGATAGTACTCCCTTCGTATTTTAATGTACGACGCCGTTGACTTTTCGACTAACGTTTGACCATTCGTTTTATTTAAAATTTTCGTGCAAATATGAAAATATTTATATCATGCTTAAAGAATATTTGATGATGAATCTAGTCACAATAAAATAAATGACAATTGCATAAATTTTTTAAATAAGATGAATGGTCAAACGTTGGATAAAAAGTAGAGGTAGTAATAAACTCCTGCTAACAATAGTTATTGGAGAAGCAGTACCACGGCCTAGATTCGGAACCAACGGTCTACAGTCTTTGATATGTTCTGTCCATCGGTCCTCTACAATCTACACTGCTCTTGTACATGCATTCTCGCTAGCTAGCAACATGTACTCTACGTTTTTACACTAGTGCTAAGAGTGAAGTCCAGATGCGTGGAAATTTTCGGACTTACTTTTCCCTTACGTGTGGGTAGGTGACCACTATCCAACGAGCTCATGTATCAATGGCTCAAAGTCAAAGAGAAAAAAAAAATCAGATAATCCTCTTTCGATGAGATCCATCTCACAAGAGTTCTAGTAATTGAGTCACCCAAATAACTTTTACAGGAATACAATTGCGCATAGTCATCGCAAAATTACAATCATCTATCTATCCAACTCAGACACGTGGCGGAGCAAAGCATATGCATGCAGGGGCGAATCCAAGTACATGCCATGTGGTGCACAGCACACAGGCTAAACTTTGAAATCCTATTAATCCTAGCTCATGTTAACATGAAAGCAGAGTATTAGATCTAGAACACTTGGTAATAATTTTCGTTCTACATTTGTTCCTGTATGCATGCAGGTTGGTGATCACTATTTCTCATGTGAATTGAGTTTAGAAATGGCTTTAAACTTCCAATGGTGGCCTCTGCGACCGCGACCGCATGCACCGCGCAGGAGATCCGCGCGCCACACGCGCGGGCAGAGCACTGACTCGCCACCGACACGGCGACACGCTACAAGAGCAAGGAGGAATTGAAGGGGACAGGTCGCCGGCCGCGCGCGCGCAGCCGCGCACGGTGGGTCACGGCACGGGCGGGCGTCGTCGCCTGCGCTGCTGCGTAGGTGTGCAACGCCGGGAGATGAGGTGGACTGCATGCACGCATGCACGCATGCACGCACAGAGCAGAGCACCGCCTGCATGATCGTCGCGGCGCGCGGCAGGGGAGGAGGCACCGGTGTGTGGGGGCACGCACGCCGCGTGATCGGCTGGAATCGCACAGCACAGGGAACCCGCGTGTAGCGATTTTTGTCAGTACACGCAGAGCAGTGCGCTGCTGCGGCCAGCCGGAAAGGCAAAATCTCTAGGACCTGGCTGGCTAGCTCGTACGTGTAACAAGGTTGCTCAAGATTGCCATAGGCCCATAGCATTTCACAGACTTTTTAAAGCTAGGCGAATAAAAGGACGGCGCCACGTCAAGCTAGCAAAAGCACAAACTTGTTTGTAGTATGAAAATTCGAGGAACCCGACAAATATTTGACTCGGCTAATTAAACTTGTTTGTCTCGGATTTTGATTATAATCCAAAGAGATTTTGAAGTTTGAATTTTTAAAATAATTATTTTTACATTATTTACCAGGTAGCTTCTTAGCAACGAAGTGTCCGGCAATGGAAATAACGATCAAAACCCCTAAAATCATTCTAAAATTTTAATCCTTTTTAGTTTGGACTATAATTCGAAGATCAGCCCACTAGCTAATTTAACAAAGTCTGACATATACTCCCTCCGTCCCAAAAAAAAACCCAATCCTAAATTTGAGACACATATGTCAAGATTCGAACCCATGATTTGATTTTTTTAGACGGAGGGAATATATAGCTATATATATGAACCAAGAGAAATTTACGGTGCTTAAAAAAGTACTTGTAAATACCACTAAAAAATTCCGGTACCTCAAGATACTTACTATGTGAAGTATAACAAAATTTATAGTAGAAAATGCAGTATCTCCTGGTAAGGTTTAACATATCTGTTAAGGTATTTCCATCGGGATGTACCGATTTCGGTCCAAAATTATTTAAAAATTGAACAAAGTTTGGTAAAATCTGAATATTTTTTGTAAGTTCAAAAAAAGAAATGAAAATTTTGAAAAAAAAACTCGGGTGAAGTAGTTTTTTTTTTTGGAGGTGGGGATTTCGGAAATTTTGTTTTGAAATTTTAAACGCTCCCTTCAGATAGTTTTTTAAGGATGGTAAAATTACCAGTGAAATAAATTTGGCTGATGCTGGCTTAACAACGTGCATGCTGAAGAGGCATGTCTCTGTCCAGTTCACGGTATTCAAGCTGCTGGTAGCTGGTAGTGCGCCTGTAGAACTTGCAGGCCTTTGCGTGGCTGATCTATCAGAAAACGCCATGCCGACAGTGGACAGAGACACGTACTCCTGTCCACTGTCAACGTGGCGTGTCCGATAAAATACGTACATGGAAGTATATACGACGTACACACGTACGTGCCCAGGGCAGCATTGTGTGCATGGGAATGTACCCGCTTGGCACACGCTACACTGCTAACCCCAGTTACCCCAGTTAAATCCCCATCGTTCATCCAGTACAGGTACAAGGATATTTCCAACCGGGATAGCTCGCATGTCTAGTTAACTAGCTAGAAGTATTAATGCATTAATTAATCTAATATGTGGTGTAATATAACTTAGTATAGTATTCATAAATCTGAATGTAGTATTAAGATATCTTACATTCTATATTAAATTAATTTATTGTGTGTTAGGAGTATTTTTATTTTCTCAGAGCCGCTTTGGAGTTGGGACTTTGGACCACATCCATATGTGCAGTTGGTGTGCGTAAATTTGTACAGCAAGGTAGCGAGCATTTCGACTACTTGAGCTCCTCCGCCTGCGCGTGCCGCTGCGCGTCGTCTGGTCTGGTAGTGGTTGGTGGACGCTTGGAACTAGTGCAGAACACCTATCAGCTCTACTGTTCGGCAGATATGCATGCAAAAGGACAACGTTTTATTTTTAACTGTGTTTCACCGCTTCAATCACGTGGTCGAGCAGTGTTTTTCGTTGGTACTCCTGTTCGCGCAAGCCCGCACCGTACCGCAAATCTCTAGTATAAGTTACAGTGGCTTTAATTATTATTTGAGACGTGTTTACAAATAGACTCTCTTGATAATCAGTATCAAGATACTAGCTAGAATCGTTTTTATGTAACATTATAGTATCGGAATACTAGAATAGAATCGGAATACTCTCAGATTTTACAAAGTATATATTTTTTTAATAAAATATATAATATGTTGTATAAATTAAATTATATAATATCGATTTTGATAAACTTAATTGATTTATATGTAAACTTGAGTGTATTTATTCATATTATTTTCAATCCACCTAATTTTAAATATATTTTGTAGGATCGTAGAATCGGAATCGGCACATTAACTAAGATTTCGTAGGATGATGTGGAAATGAATAGTAATATCGAGATACTATGAAAATTAAGATACTATATAGGATCAGTATTGTTTTAGCTTGATAGAATCATAGTATCGTAAGATACTGTGATATGGATCGAGATACTGATAACATTGATCTATGCTAGTGCTGGTAGAATAAATCTAGACTGTTTATATTTTTTAATATGATAAATTATATTTATTTATACTAACTGTATACTTCTTTCTCATATTAGTAATAAAGCTAATAAATTAACGATTAATATTAATTTTACTTGGAATGAATAATAATGATAATACAATACTATAAATAGACCAACGTAAAGATACTTATCATCATCAATTAAAACTCTACTGCTAGGTATTTCAAGCACGTGAAATGAGCGTGGTTAGCTTAACTGGCTAGGTTTTTAATTTTAAAACTTATCCGTTCGAATTTATGTTTTATACTTAGCATGGGTGTTCATATCTACAGCTAATTATTCTTTCGATGATAGACGATGTACTCGTTAACAACGAGACATTGATAGTAACTTCATAAATCTGAGGATTTGTTAGTCCAGTCATTCGGAAAAAAACTATGTTTTTTTTAGAAAAAAAAAGTATTTCAAGCACACACTGGTGCGCGAGCGGGGTAGTCACATCACTTTGGTTCCGGCCTTGATGACTTGACGAATACAGGGGTGGACGTCGACATGCCATCGTGTATGTATTCGTCAGTCCACAGAAGGCGCATGTGTACTCACAATCGAGCTAATACTTTTTGATTACGGAAAGAGACACACAACATGCAAATTCCTGCAAATGCATTTATGCATCTTATTAAGAGTGGGCACATGCCATTTTTGTAAATATCAAATTTAGTTAGTTCGTTTATTAATGGAACCAATAGTATGGATTAAGAGCTATCCTGGACTGGTCCACATTCACCCCTTCCTAGCTAGTATATTCCTAGGATTAAAGAAATGTACATTAGTGGTAAATCTATGTACGTACCACACTAACTTTCACGTGAGGCGCATTTCACGTGTGCGTAAAGGTAGTGAGTACCTAGGTTTTTAGAAGAACGATTTTGGAGAATCCAATCCTATGGTTAGCCGCAGCTCTACTACCCACCAAAGAGGTAGTTCCAAAATGCTACCTCAACGACCCAACCTGATCCACAAACACTACTAAGGTAATATATGTGTACTGTCTACATTTACCAATGCCGCCAGCATTATTTTCACCGATTTATGTTAAAATGTGCCATTGCTAATGTATGGTATATGTATGCACGGACTAACTATGTAAGTATCCCAACAATTATACTACCTCCATATTTTAATATATAATGCTGTTGATTTTTTGTCTAACGTTTGACTATTCGTCTTATTCAAAAAATTTATTTAACTATCATTTATTTTGTTGTGACTTGATTCGCCATCAAATGTTCTTTAAGTATGACATAAATATTTTTATATTTGCACAAAAAATTTAAATAAAACGAATAGTCAAACGTTAATCGAAAAGTCAACAGCGTCATACATTAAAATACGGAATTAAAATACAGAGGGAGTATATAGTAACCAATCAGTAGCATATATAACTGGTTAATTTTTCCACCCATCACACAGCAGCGCCGCTACTGTCACTACAGCTTCACTCTGGTTAGTAGTTAAGCTAGTGCACTGTTTGTACTTGTCAATGGCGTACTGTCCTGTCGACTGGACACGTTGGGAATCAATTTGCAGGTGCAAGCAGGCAATTAGCATGCATGGTCATCAATGCAGAGATAGGATGCGTGTACTTACCGACTGTGGCGGAGCGGAAGGTGGTGGAGCCGTCGACGACGTTGCGGCTGGCCTTGATGACGGTCTTGCCGATGCCGTCGCCGATGAACATCAGGTTCTTCTTGCTCTTCCCCACCTCCACGTTCTCCATGTACGCCCCGGCCTTGATGTGTATCACGTACCTCTTGTTCGAGTTCGCCGGCGCCGCCGCCACCGCCGCCGACACCGTCGTGTACCCGCCGCTCCCGTCCTTCGCCACCACCGCGTCGGGCGTGATGCTCGACGCCGGCGCTTGGAGTAGCCGCCGGTCTCCCGGCCTCACCCACTTCGGGAACCCATTCGCCATCTGCCCGTACCCCATGAATGGCTGCCGCTGCGTGGTCTCTGACGACTCCGATTGCGTCGCCGTGTCGGGCGACGACGATGACGGGGTCATCCCACCGCCGCCGGCGCCGGGCAGCTTCTTGGCCATGGCGAGCGAGTTGCTGACCATGCGGGAGACGTGGTGGATGCTGGACTCCATGTAATGACGCACCCTCTCCCCGTCCTTGTAGTCGAAGCCGTCGAGGCAGGTGTACTGGTTGGTCATGGCGGCGGAGAGCTCCGTCATGACGTGGTCCATGGTGACGCGCTTGGCGGCCATCGAGGCCGAGCCATTGTTGCCGCCGGCGACGGCCGGCGACTCGAGGTCGCTGGTGGTGGCCTGGAGCTCGTCCATGGTGGTGTCGAGGAGCTCCATGCAGTCGGAGATGGCGAGGCGGTCGCGCGGCGTGAGGTACTTGCTGTTGATGTAGTGCGAGCAGTTGTAGGAGGTGGCGGCGACGGCGTCCTTGGTGCGGTTGACGGTGCCGCAGATGACGTCCGGGAGGGACTTGGTGTGGAGGTCCGGGATGTCGGCGAGCGTGGACAGGCAGAGCTCCGGGTAGAGCGTGCCCTCGCAGTGCGCGGCGGCGGCCTCCTCCGCGGACGGGTAGAAGGGGGCCGTGTCGGACGACGCACCCACGGCGGTGGCGGCGGCGGCGGCGAGTGTGACGGCGAGGAGCACGAGCAGAGGCCCCGGTCTCCCGGCATGTAAGGGTGGCATTGTGCTGTCACAGTGAGCACTGAGCACTGAGCAGCAAGAGCTAGCTGGAGGGGGAGTAGTAATGCGAGTGATGGATTTGGGTTTTGAGTGATGGTCTGCTTATAAGTAGAGCTGTAGGGGAAGGGATGGCCAGTGCAAGGATGAGTGTGATTCATGTTCTGCAACAGTATTAGTCCCACAGGGATCTGCTCTTGTTTAAACTTTCACATCGTCGGTTGGATCACGAACCGATGGTTCAGATCAAGGCATCGGGCCATCGGCGAAGGATTTTCAGATGGGATCGCACACAGACAGTCATACAAAACCACAGTCCACAGTACACAGAAGGGGGCATGACATCTAGCCATTCGCGGACAGTTTTGCACAGAATGACCAATCAAATCAATATTCCACCATTTGCACTACAGATTGATGGTTTACACGGCATTATGAACTACACGCTTTGTTTCAGCCCTTAACACTTGACAGGCCGGTAACTGCCGACGGACAAAATGCTCCTAGCCCAGTTCAACCCATTAACGGGCCTTTCATATCTTGCATCCTTCTATATTCACTCGACTGGCCTTCTTTTGGGTGAACCAGTTGTTGGACGTCTGTACGTGTGATTCCCTATTCCCCTTGCGCCCGTGACCAAATTTTTTTGAACAAAAAGCCAATACATGATGATAGAAATGTAAATAAAAAAATAGAGGATTGTAAAACATATGAAAAATATAAGAATAGTCGTTTCGTTGAACCACTGTAAAAAAGCAAAGAAATTGGATAAGATATATAGACTTAAAATAAACTTTCCATGAGATTGACTATCTATTTCCGTGTATTTCCTATTTCCACGTTTTGAAAATCCTGTGTTCCATGGAATAGTGCAATTAGAGGGCTTCTCCTTCCATGTCATGTGTTTTCAAGTCCTGTAGGATTGGAAAAAAAATGCTACTTCAATTCCTGAATATGAGGAAATATGTCTTTTTTTCAAAAAAAAAAGAAAGTAGAAAAATTGAGAATTCATGGAAAAAAGTTTTAGTTGGAATAGAAGTTGGTAGGTGAAAATTAAATTAGTACTTGGTAATAAACTAGTATGGAAGTTGGTACATGAGAAATATAATATTGTCTCGAGATCACCAAATACCTTATATTTTGCACAAATTAGAAGGACAAAGTGTTTTATATGAAAAAGTCTTAATTACCCCTTGAACTGATGCGGCAATCTGATTTACCCCCTTAACTATAGTACTAGACATTTGACACCTTGAACCTTTAAATCAGGACAAATTACCCCTAACTCAATCTAGAGCCGTTTTTTTTTTACATGTGGTAGTCCAGTCACAAAAACAAATAAAATCAGTAGGGCCCAGTTGGCACTGCTGTCATTTTTCCGCTCTTCTCTGCCTCTCTCTTAGTGAGCTTGCCATCAAGCATGCCCATAGGACCGACGCTCATGCAAAACAACGCCTCCACGTCAGCCTCATGAGAGAAGGGGAGGGTGCCGGAGGTGAGGGCCAAACATAGCACCAGATTTGGGAGAGGAGTTAGCCCCGCAGTCGACGAGGAAGCGGTCCAAGCAGAGATGGTTGGCTGTGAGGGAAGGCTGGGCAACGACACGTGAGGTTGGTGGTGGTCAGTCGCACTAACGGCCAGATAAGAGTCATGCGAAGCAAGTGATGTCTTCTTGGCGGACCATGGTCAGCCATCACTAGGGAGAGATCTAGCTCCTGGGTCCTAGCATAGAGAGAGAGAGAGAGAGAGGCATCCGTCGTTGCTATAGCCGTGGCAAGGGAAAATCATTATTCTACCCCTCTACCTTATGTTCCTATAGTTGTGTTGGGGCTATGGAATGGCGAAGAGTCATAGCCTGTTGACATTTGGGTGTGGCCAAGAGGCGAGATGCGGTGGACTAGTAGATGGAGGGAAGGCTCACCAGGTATGGGCTAGCTGATAAAGAAGGTGAGGCGAGACATAGCCAAGCGGCGAGGAAGGGGCGTTGTTGGGCATGGCTAGGGTATGGCTGCACGGTGGTGGAGGAAGCAGTCCAGCTATCGGCAGCAATAGCAGCAGCTAGCCAAGCTCATGGAGCCCCCTTCCTCTCCTCCCTATTTGTCGGTTAGCTCTAGAGGGACAACATCCTCATAGACGAACTCATGTCTTGGCTATGAAAAATAGACAATTCAAGTGGCACTCGTTCCATCTAGTTTCACAAGGAAGAGACTAGGGGTAGAGGGAGAAGAAAGAGTTGAAGCTAACATTTAGGACCGGTCAAATATCTCCCTTTTTTAATTTCATTTGATAATCTAGCTGAGTGGATTGCCACGAAATCAAATTCGTGCCACATGTTTAACATGTAGTATCAAAACCACTATGGGTTAAGTTAAGGGGGAAGAGGAGAGGAAAGGTCAGGATTTAAGAGTTCAGGTGTTAAATATTTGGTACTGTAGGAGAGAGGGGGGGGGGGAGGTAAGTCAAACTCCTATAGGAGGGACGGAGGAAATACTTATATGTATACATCTTTATTAATAAAAGTTCAAGCTGACACAGTTCCACCGTAGTTTCGATAAAAAAGAGTATGCAAGATTGCAGAGTTCTTCGGCCTTGCTGTTGATGACACTCGACAGAGCTACTAACAGGTGCTACATACCTTCTTACTTTGATACTTTCTCCTGTGATATTCTGAAGGAAAAAGTCCGAATTACACCCCTGAACTATTGGGGGAGTACGAAATACCCCGTCAGACGTGAAAATCAGACATCTTTCAACCTCAACTATCAATATCTGTCCCTGTGGTTTTGGTTCTACGTGGCAGTCCGGTTAGCAATAATTAAAAAACCGATTGGTCCTACCTATCAGATCTCTCTCCTCCCTATCACCAAGAACCCCCCTGAGCAGCTTTGCAAGCGGTTTTGGTCCTACGTGGCAGTCTGTTTAGCAATAATTTTATTAGAAAACCGATGGGCCCCACCTATCAGATCTCTCTCCTCCCTATCTCTTTCCCCTCTCACACCTCTCTCTCTTGTGCGTGCACACATAAGTTTTAGAGGAGGAGCCCAGCGCAACAGTGGTGGTGGCGAGGACGGCGGCAGTTCAGTTGTGCCTCAAGAGGAAGCAGCAGCGGTTCACGCCGTCGTGGCTCACGGCGCAACAGCACCAGCTTGAGGCGATGGCTGGCGCGAGGAATCCAGCGGTGATGTATGGGTCAGCGATGTTCATCAGGAGCTCCATGCCGGATAGCGGCGATGCGCAGCAGTAGGCCGACCTAAGCTTTGGGTTCTCGTCGACGTCATCCGCGCTCACGTCGCTGCACGCTGCCTCCTTGGCGCATATGTCCACCACCGCGCTACTGCAGAAGGCAATGTGGATGGGTGCGACGCCGAGTTGCCTCCGTCGTCCTCACCCGCTGCCACCGCTCCGAGTTGCCTCCCCTGTCTCTACCTGTCGCCGCCGCTGCTCCGAGTTACCTCCCAATCCCCGCCGACCGTCGCCATCGTCCTTGGCTTCCCCTCTGTCATCCTCGCCTGCTGCCACCGCTCCTTGGCTTCCCCTCTGCCATCCCCGCCCGTTGCCACCGTCCTCGGCTCCCCCTCCATCGTCCCTGCTCTGAGCCGCCTCCCCCACAGCCACCATCCTCGGCTTCCTCTCCGCCAGCTGCTCAGTGATAGAGAGAGGAGGAGCCAAGAAGAGAAGAGAGAGGATTGGGAAAGAGATAGATAGTGAGGTAAGGGGAAATAGATAGAGTGGATGAGATTGATAGGTGGGATCCATCGATTAAAAAAGAAGAATTGCTGACTGAACTACTACGTAGGATCAAAACCACTCTGGTTTAAGTCAGGAAGGTTTTTCATCTGGTATTGATAGTTGAGGATGAAAAATGTCTGGTTTTCGGTTCTGATGGGGTAATTTGTACTTACCCAATAGTTCTGGGGCATAATTCATACTTTTCTGAATACCCGTGTTGCAGCGGGTGTGATTGTTTGTCAATGGCCGCATTCGTCAGTAATCACCTGACGAATAGAGACGTTTAAGCGTCCGATGCATAATTAAACTCAAGTAGATACTCTCTCAATAATAGAAATCTAACGGAGCTTAGAGCAAATTTAATAGGATAGCCAACTACTAGCTCCAATTCATACATAGTTAATCTAATAGCTCATTCATGCAATAGTTACATACTACACTATTAATACCTGGTCCCACCAGTCATACACACACTGCGTCTTATAGTCCGTGCTACAGCTGACTACAAATCTATAGCCCGCTGCTATTCTCTCTCCTTATTTATCTTCTTAAAATATATTTGTAGTTGGGTTATAGCCTGCTATTGTACCTGCTCTTAGCAGCAGTGAGTGTATGAAGAGAGGCCTACGGCTGATCTGATATTCGAAGAATCGATCTGAACATGCATTCATTAGGTTTGCACCGACACAGTACCAAACAATCATTCCTCACTCACTGTAGCCACATGATGCGATCGAGTAGATACTAAGAGCAAGGTCAATAGTATAGCCAAATACCGGCTCCAAAACATTTATAGCCAATCTAATAGCTCATTCATACAATAGTTAACTATAAAAATATACTACACCATTAATAAACAGTCCCACCTCTCATACACACATAACATCTTGGAGTCCGTGATGTAGCCGGCTACAAATCTGTAGCCCGCTTTCTTCTCTCTCTTCTTTTTTCTTCTCGATATATGGTTACAGCCGGCTTATAGCTTACTATTGTACCTGCTCTAACAAGAGTATACCTGACAGTACAAGTAATCTTATCCATAACACCGCCGTTCTGATCACGCTATACGCCGATGGATTCTCAATTCTACGTGACAAGATGAGCCGCTAGATATATGCGTACCATGGCAGCAAGGCCAACAGTTTACAGAAAGTATTTTCTACATCTAGAAGCCATGGCTGAACTGGAGCTGGGCATGCGGCGATATATAGGAGAGGAGACGGAGAGCATGCGCATCTACCGGCTGGGTTTCGGAGCAAGAGTACTGGTCCCTGCATGGCAATTTTGGCTGCTGCATCTACGTCCAGACCTTAATTGGGATCCATAATACGCGCGAGTCAGGACAAGCGCACAACGGGACACGCACGCCTACATTGCAAATT